GCAGGGGGGCGCCCAGCAAAAAGCCATGGCGGCCATGGATGGCCAGAGATGAGACTGGATGCCGCTGGGCACTGGGCTGGAGCTGGGGGCAGCCCAGGGTTGTGGGGACACAGGAGGGTCGGGGAGGGGGGAGCCGGGGAGGGCAGGGGTTTCCCGAAGATCGCACTGGAAGATTTTATAAAAGAATTTTTGTGGGTGGGGGGGATAGTAAACTTCCTGGGCCATTTGGGTCCTTCAGGAGTTTTTCAGGCAAGTTTTTCTCTCTTTTTAATATATAACTATAATATATATAAATATATAAATATAACTAATGTCTGTGAGAATGGGCCTGGCACAGCTGGGGTGCTCAGGGCTGTGGCTGCCTCCTCCACCCAAATCTTGAGGGTAGGAGCGCGCTGCAGAGCCAGTGAACGATGTTGGGGCACAAGGCATCTGTCAGCTGCCTCCTCCCACAGCCGTGCCTTCCAGAACTTCGAAGAGGACCCCACCACCTCAGTCACCCAGCAGCCGCTGCAGGTGGAGTCCTGGGAGGGCCTGAGGCCAAAGGTGTGGAAGGCCCTCTTGGCATCGGGGCTCCCCCCCCCGACCTCTTCCCCACCTCTGATTGCTGGTCGTGGCCCCATAGCTTCTGTCACCCCCATCTCCTGCTGAATGTGCAGGGCTGATGTGGCACTGAGGAGCTGACTAAGGTCAGGCTCTGCCCAGTAGGGGCCTTGGCTGCCCCAGGCACGCCGCCCCTCCCACTGTGAGTCTCAGGTCCCAGTGGAGGGCCTGCCTTTGGGTTTAGTTCCCGAATTGAAATCCCATCTCACCAGGGTGAAATTTTAATTTAAAAACTTAAAAAGAGACTTTTCTAACTTTCCTGGTTTGTGGTGCTTTTATTTCTATTGGTGGGTGAATTGGTCTCCTTGGAAGAGGAGTGGTGGGGGGGGTCCCTTGCCATTGGGCTGGTCTGGGTGTTTCTTGCTGTGTGGTCACAGCAGGGGCTCTTGCAGTGCAGGCAGGGTCCAGCTTGGTGTGGGGAGGAAAGGAGGGGCCAGAGTCTGTCCTGAGTTGCTGTGACCTTCCTTTCTGGCCCCATCAGTGTAGTCACTACCTGCAGAGCCCTAGTGAGGAGCACTGGAAGCCATTTCCATCTGCTGTGGGGAGAGCTGCCCCTTCTAGCTGGGGGTGTCCTGATGTCCCCTAGGCCCTCCCAGCAGGCATCTTCTAGCTGGGCTCATCTCTGATATTCCTACCCTTGCTTCCCAGGGTGGTGTGTCCCTGTGGGCTGTGGAATGGCTATGACCCAAAGGTCAATTAAGGCTGTCAGGGAGCCATAGACAGGGCAGGTCCCCAGAGGGGCCTGCTTCCACCCGCCTCCCCATAGCCCTGCAGGGTCAGCATGTGTGAGGCTGCCGGTTCTGACCCAGCAGCCCAGCCTGGGGTGGTCCTGTGGTGCTGGAGGTCAGCTGCATGGGGAGCCTGCCCACCTGGTTGATGGGGGTGACAGCCACATGGCTGGGGTGCCTCCTCCTGCCCTGCCCTTCACCGCCACACTTGGTCCTGGCAGCCCTGTCTTGTCCCGTCCTCCTGCCTTGTCCTCTGCTGCAGTCTAAGGGGCCCAGGCCCTGCTGGAACACAGGCGGGACGGGTTCTCGAGGTTCAGGCCAGAAGTGAAGTGAGAAACGAGAGGGACTGGGCCCGGCACACCCCCTCCCCACCCCCATATCCTGCCTCCAGGACTCCTGGGGCCCCCTCCCACAGCGGGGCAGCCCCTCCTCCGGTGGAGTGGAACGGTGGCCCCTCCACCTCAGCATTGGACACAGACATGCCGTGCTTGGAGGCTGGGTTCGTCCTTTCAGTTTTGTTTCCTGGTTGGAAACCCCTGAGACTCCGCCCCTTCCCCTGCCCACCTGTGCTTTCCCAGGCTGGAAGGGGTAGCCCCTCTAGGCAGGTGGGCGGTTACGCTGTGACATCCCCAGGCTGCCTGGGCCTGGGATGGGGTCCACCCAGGTGTGGGCCTTGCCCAGGTGCGGGAATGGTGGGGGTTGGCCTGGCCGGCTTAGGGAATGTTGCTCTGGGCCCTTCTGTGGGTGTGGGCAAGGCCTGGGTGGTGAGGAGGACTGGGCTGTGCCTCCCTGCCAAGATGGTGAATTTGGCTTTAGACCCAGGAAACTGAGCCGACCTTCTGACATTTCACAGCCAGGGTGGGGCCGAGAGCGGCAGGCGCCCAGCTGGAGTGGGGGAGGGGTGGCCTTGCTCTGCCTCCTGCCTGGGAGGAGAGGGGCTGGGGCAGGGGGGTGCCCACTCGGAACTCCGCTGTCTGAGCAGCTCCTTTCTTCTGTGCAGTCCTGAGCACAACCTCATGACATGAAGATTTGCTGGGTCTCCGCAGAGCAAGCCAGAGGGAGCACCCACCCAGCCAAGCCCGCCCCACTTTACCCATACCAGGGTCAGGGGCCAGAAACCTGTTTCTGGGCTGTTTCTTGCCACACTTTCCTTTCCTGTGTGATCTGTCTCCTCACACCCCAAAGCGAGCTTCTTGCCCCAGAAATCCCTTTCCCATGCTGGGGTGATGGGAACTGGGGGTGGGGGGAGCCCCATTCTCAACTCCAAGCACTTCCTTTTCTCTGAGGGGGGAGCCTCTGGGGCAGGCAGGCCTTGGTGATTTCAGGGCTTTATAAACCTCAGGGTGGGGGACCACTTTAATCTAATGGGGGACCCCTAGAATATGGCTGAAGCCCAAGCTCGGGAGGTCAAGAGACCCCGGGTCCCTGGAGCTTCAAGTGGGTTGCAGCCATGAAGGAGGCTCGTCCCTGAGAGTTGCTGCACTGGCCTGAGCTCAGTCCCACCTGCACGCCTCTGACCCCTCACCTGCGGTCCCTTGCCTGCAGGTGTCGGGGGCTACAGCGGAGGGAAGCAAATCGCGCCGAGCAGGGGGCTCACACCACCCTCCACGCGCCTGATGTTTTTGCTCTGTATCTTCCTGGGGAGGAGGGGTGGGGACACTGGGCCACAGCCATGGCAGCCCGTGGTCTGAGCCTTCAGGCCCTGCCTGTCTCTGCCGCAGCCCACTCAAGGGACAGCAGTGGAGGGCAGCAAACAAACTGTCCCAGTGTGCTGCAGGGGTTCGCCTCCGGCCATTGGCACTGCTTCCCTGGAATCCCATGCCAGGTGTCAGGAACCACCTTGAGCCAGCAGCAAGAGCAAGCAGGCAGCTGCCACCCTCACCCGCAGAGTGCTGGACACTGACTGCACAGCCCCAGCCCCCCCAGTGGAGAAGGCAGGTCTAGAGCCAGAAGGCACAGCACCCTGGGTCTAGCCAAGGTCAGGAGAGAGCTGGTGGGGTGAGAGCAAGCCCAGCCGGTCCCAGGGCCCCGAGTCTCCCTGTTCCCAGCGCAATGTCCAGCCTTCCCGAAGCCCCAGCGCCCTCAGAGAACAGAGGCTGAGGACTCACTCTCAGGCTATAAACCAGACCTGCTGTCCAAGAGAAGGTCTGCCGAGCAGGCGGGCCTGGGAGTGTCTGGAGGCACGTGGGGGGCTGCCTGGCCATCAGTGGGCACTTCCCTCTCCCTCCGTCTTCCTGTCAGAGAAGATTCGCCACGCCAAATCTTCCTCCTGAACGTTTATTTACACCTCTGCTCACTGAGCATTGGTGGATCGCGGCCCCCGGGTGGGCTCCTCGAGCCCCTCCCCAGGAAGCACGTCCACGTGCCTCTCTGGTCCCCCGTTTGCCACCTCAGTGGGGCTGAGCAGGTTCGTTGTGTTCGGCAGGGGGAGGCGCCCGTCAGAGGAAGGTCTGTCTTTCTGTTGATGCAAAAAAACTGCAAGACAGAGGGGCTGAGGTTACTCACTACATTCCCCACACCCACTGGGGGCCACCCCAGCCTGCCCAAAGCCCAGGGAAGTTAGGAGCAGTTCTGTTTGCCGGCTGGGCTGAAACAGGCTGGAGGGGAGCTGCCAGGGCTGGGGTGCACGGCACAGGCACTTCTGAGCTCCTAACTAGTCATGAAGCACCCTTCATGATCTTTGTGAATGAAAAGTAAGTGGCTGGGCACGGTGGTCAGGCATGTAATCCCAGCACTGTGGGAGGCTAAGGCAGGCAGATCATGAGGTTAGGAGATCAAGACCAGCCTGGCCAATATGGTGAAAACCCCGTCTCTACTAAAAATACAAAAATTAGCCTGGTGTGATGGTGGCACGTGCCTGTAGTCCCAGCTACTCTGGGGGCTGAGGCAGAAGAATCGCTTGAACCCGGGAGGTGGAGGTTGCAGTGAGTCGAGATTGCACCACTGCACTCCAGCCTGGGTGACAGAACAAGATGACTTCTCAAAAAATAAAAAAAAAGAAAAAGGAAAAGCAAACATATCTCAAAAACGAAAAAGCAGTAAACAAGTTTTCTGTGAACACAGACACTAGGTGATATGCCAAAAGGTGCAGGAATTTTTCGTGACTACCAGTCCCTCTCCTGCTTCCAGAGCGTTTCAGCGCCCTTAGACAGTGCAACGCCTGGCAGAAGGGAGCCAAGTACCCCCAAGAAAACAGTTCTGGGAGTCAGGGTGACAGTCCTGTGCTCGCTCTCCTCCACTGAGACCTGTTGTTCCCAGCTCGGCCTTTGGGCCAGAGGACTTGGCTTTGAACTCCAGCTCTGCCGCTTCCTGGCTGTGTGACCTAGAGCAAGGAGCTTCACCTCTCTGTGCCTCAGTTTTCTCAGCCGTAAGTGGTGCTAACAATGGTCCCTACCTCAGTGCTGCTGCGTGGCTTAAAACTGGTTCATCCGTGTAAAGCTCCTAAATTAACTCCCTGGCCTGTGGGGGCCCTGGATGACGGTGAGAAGCCATCACCACCGCAGCCACTACTCTGTTGTGATTTCCTCCTCCCTCAGCCACAGGCTCTCAGTGAGGGCTGGAGTGATGTTGGAGCATCTAGCCTAGGAGCAGGGGAGGGTGGAGGCTCTGGGGTTCCCTGGACCTCCCACAGGCACCCACAAGGTATGTATGTACATTGCAGGAAGGTCTGCAGCTTTTATTAGATTCTCTGGGGGGCCCTAACTCCAAGAAGCACTAACCCAACACCCCCTCGATGCCAGATGAGGACACAGGTCTGGAGAGGAGAGAGACTTGCTCAGGGTCACCTGGCAGTGATCCAGCCTTCTGCCTGCAGGGCCCCTGTGGCTGAACCCTAAGGGTCCTTAGCTCCCTGACCTTCAGGCCCAACTTAGCTCGTGGGGAGGTCAGGGACCTAAGGGACCCTCTAGGCCAGAGGCCAGGCAGAGGTTCCTCCATATCAGGGTCTGGGGGCTCTTGGGCACCCGGGCATGGCCTGTGCCCAGCAGCCGCCATGCAGAGCCCAGGCGCATGAGCGCCATGACAGTGCACGTGAGCAGGACAAGGGCATGGGCCTGGCACCAGAGATTGCGTGGCAACCCTGTCCCTATTTCATCTTCTGTGGAATGGGGCAGTAACAGCACCTACCCACCTCCCAGAAGGGGCACGAATCACTCAGTCTCTAGGGGTTTCTGTTTTCCCCACCCGTCCCCTCCTTTGGCTCCCAGGCCCTCCCCTCTCCAGGGAGATAAAGGTGTGACCCTGCCTGGGCAGGAAAGGGGGTCGGCAGGGCCAGCAGGGAGGCCTGGCAGGACGCCTCACCCAGAGGGAAGCTACCTGGGGTGTTGCCAGCCGACATCTGGGCGCTCTGAGGCCGAGAGGGCAGCTGGCCACTGGTGCTGAGGGATGGCTGCCTGTGCCCATTCGGCCGGGGCTGCCTGGACTTGCGCTTTGAGGTCCCTGAGCCTGATGGGGACAGGACGGAAGGCTCAGTGCTGAGGCAGCCGTGAGAACCCCTGGGGGTGGGAGGGGGGCCGTGGGGCTGCTGGTCACGGCTGGCCTTGGCTGAGTGGGGTCCTCATCTGTCTGAATTTTGGATCTGTCCCAGAGAAGCAGTCTTCATTCATTCTCATGTCCACCCACCCAGCCACGTGCACAGAGTCCCTGAGGACCTGCACACGTCAGCCCTGTGGCAGATATGGGGTGAGTTCTGACCTGGGGTTTCCAGGGCAAGAGGGCAGACATCTAGAAAGGTGCATACACAGCTAAATGAATGACGGGAAGTGACAAACAGCAGACTTTGGGCTGTGTCATGTTACGGAAGGTGGGCATTCGGGGGCTGAGGCAGTGGGGGCTCAGCAGAGGGCACTGTTCTGAGTTTTTGGGGATTTTTTGTTTTGTTTTGTTTTGAGATGGAGTCTCGCTCTGTCACCCAGGCTGGAGTACAGTGGCGCTCTCTCTGCTCACTGCAACCTCCACCTCCTGGGTTCTAGCGATTCTGCTGTCTCAGCCTCCCAAGTAGCTTGGACTACAGGCATGTGCCACCACACCCAGTTAATTTTTGTATTTTTAGTAGAGATGAGGTTTCATCGTGTTAACCAAGATAGTCTCGATCTCCTGACCTTGTGATCCGCCCGCCGTGGTCCCCCAAAGTGCTGGGATTACAGGCGTGAGCCACTGCACCTGGCTCTGTGTTGAGTTTTGAAGGAGAAGGAGGCCCTGATGATGCCAAGGACAGAGGCCCAGCAGTACAGCTGGGGTGGAGGCTGGCAGGAAAACACGGGCCACTCCATCCCAGCTGATGGCTGAGGCTGGACAGCTGTCCTCTACCTATGAACATTCACCTGGTAGCTTTTCGAGACCTGAACATTTGGAGTCAGGGGAGTGGAGACGGAAGACACCCAGGGTCCAGTGACCCATAAAAGTGCCAGCCCCCGAATGGACGTACACCCTGTGGGACCCACGTGAGGCACCTGGTAGCCTCTGGGCTCCACTCACTGTCTTTGCTGAGGATGCCTGGCAGCCTTGTGTCCATCCGTCCCTTGTAAATGTGGCCATCCAGGCCCAAGATGTCCACCTCATCATGCTGTAGAGGTAGACAGATGTCATCACCATCGGAGCACACACAGCCCCCCACCCCCGGTCCCTGCCTCCACAAAGGCCTGAGGCGCAGAGCACTGTGGTCTGGGAACCCTCCTGGGGGGCTCTGGGAGGCACTAGGGTGGATAGAGAAGGTGGAGGGAGGTAAATGGCCGACGTGGGAGACCTGGGAGGCCAAATGCTGCTGAGCAGGCAGGTGATTGGGATAAATCCTTCTTCCTGGAAAATAAGAACCTGAGGCTTTAACTGGATGGTCTGATTAAGGAATTGCCTCAAGGCAGAGGGCTGGCTGAGATGGCCTCTTGTGGCTTTGGAGAATGACTCAGGAATCTGGAGCCGTGTCAGGGCCTCCCTCCCTGGTGGCTTCAGGCAGGGTCCTGACCTTCATGGCAATCTGGATCTCTTCGGTGGGGTACAGACCCCGGGGCAGGTGCTGCAAGCGGCTGCGGTGGTAGGGGTAGGTGAGGGTGTGGCTGCCCCCGCAGCGCCGGGGCACAGTTGAGTAGGTATGATTGGACATATCTGTCACCCTGTGATGAAGACAGGATGGAGTCATTGGGAGCAGACCGCCAGGGACATGGCCTGGGACTTGCCCATGATGGGGCCGGCCAGAAGGAAGCTCCACTTCAGGGGTGGCCAGGAGGCAGAGCAGTGGGAGCCCAGGACAGGCGGGCAGGGCCCAGGACAGGTGGATTGGGGTAGAGCAGCCGTGAGGCTAGGTCACCCCAGTGACCATGCACACGGGCGGGCGCGCGCACACACACCCTTACACTCACACACGTACACACGTACCTATACACACATATACACGCTTTTTTTGGGGGGGCGGGGAGACAGAGTCTTGTTCTGTCACCAGGCTGGAGTGCAGTTTCTTGATCTCAGCTCACGGCAACCTCCGCCTCCCGGGTTTAAGAAATTCTGCTGTCTCAGCCTCCCCAGTAGCTGCAACTCCAGGCGCATGCTGCCACGAGCGGCTAATTTTTTGTATTTTAGTAGAGACGGGGTTTCACCGTGTTGCCCAGACTGGTCTCGAACTCCTGAGCTCAGGCAATCTGCCCTCCTCAGCTTCCCAAAGTGCTAGGATTACAGGCATGAGCCACCGCGCCCGGGGTACACACACTCTTATACATACACGCACTCACGTGCACACTCACACTCATATACATGCATACACATACACTTACACATATAATCACCTATACAGACACACATGCACACACTTAATACACACACGCAGGTATGTACACACACGTACTCATACACTCACATGTACTCATACATGCACACACACACTCCTACACCCACACTTACACACTCGTGCTCGTACCCACACTCACATACTCACATGCACTCATACACACCCCTACACACGCTCATACACCGATGCATACGCACCCACCCAGACACATGGCTTACACACACACTGACAGCCCTCGCCCACGCCTTCACACACTCACACACAGACACACACCCACGCTCCTTTTTCTCCCTCAGGCCCTCCCCCAGCAATGGGTCGAGGCGTTTGTCTGCACAGCCAGCTCCCCGTGGCCTCGCCCGCCCCTCCCGTACCGTTTGTAGCATGGGGAGGTGAGGCACTGGGCCTGCAGCAGCTCGCGGATGACCTGGCTGCTGGCCTTGGTGGAGCCTCCGAAGTGGATCTGCACCTTCTCGATGTTCATCAGCATCTTGGAGTGCATGGAGCGCAGGCGCCTCACGCTCTGCTCCATCTGCGCCAGGTCACCCCGAGGGAAGGCAGTGCCCAGCTTGAGGCTGCAGGGTGTGAGCAGAACAGAGGGAGTACTGGCCCACGGGGGAGCCTTGACCTTGTGTCAGCCGCATCCTTTTGTTCTGGGTCCCTTTTGTGCAAGACCCAGCTAGCCCCGTGGGCGCTTGGTCGAGGGCTGGGGTCGCTGAGCAGCTTGACCCCTCCGTCATATCAGCCCTTTCCACAGCACCTGAGGGCCAGACTTGCCAGACTTTCCCCAGATGGGAAAGTGCAGGCCAGCCAAATGGAAGACAGCCCGGCTCCCTCTGCAGCTGCGGGTGGAGAAGCCGAGGGCAGCCCGGGGCCTTCCCATCACAGCACACCTGGCCCTGCACACCAGAACCCTTAGGGCTTCCAAGAGCAGTCTGAAGTCCTCTGTACTGCGGACTCCCATCCTTAGGAGAAGGCCCTCGGGAGTCATCTCTGTCCCCTGCCTTCCCTGTCCAGAGCCCTGGCCCTGGACCCTGCTGTCCCGTACTTGCGGCTATGCTGCCGGACCTGCTCCAGTTCAAATACCGTGTAGGGGCGGATGGAACAGTGCCCGGGTAGGCCTGGACCTGCGGGGGTCACGGGAATGGCTCTGGGTAGGGACAGAGAAAAAAGGGATGGGTCAGAGTGGGACAAGTCCCATCCCCCAAATCCACCTGCCTAAAGAACCTTCCCACCTGCCCCCCGCCTGGGAGGGAGCGAGGGCTGGAAGCCGACCCACGAGAGAAAGGGAGAGGACAGGGTGGACACAGGTGGAGAAGGGAGGAGACGCAGCCCCGCTGTGCGAGGCCACGTGCCGGCGATGTGGGCACTCACTGTCCGGTCACGGTTGTCTCCAAGGGCCGGTCACATGAGAGGCAGTGGAAATGTGCCAGAAGCTGCCTGTTAGGAATAAGACACGTACGCAGGATGAGTGCTCTGCCCGGAAGTCCCGGGGGGCCTGGGCCTCTGCAGGCCACGCAGGCTGGAAGCTCAGCCCACCGGGGTGCACACCATGTCCCTGCTCCCCAGGAATCCATCTGCTCGCACCTGGGGCTCGCCTCCCATACCTCCCTGTCCTAACCCAAAGCCAGCAGGGTTCCCACGGGCCCCGGAGGGTGCCCTGTGCATGTCTCGGGGGCCCCCTGGCGGCCACAAATGGGAATCCTGGAATTCAAGCCCAGTACGGGCCAGGTCCTATGGGCTGGCCCTCAGCAGCTGTCTCAGCTCTGGGTACTGAGGACCTCTCCCTGTTCCAAAGGCCCAGCTTAGCTCAGCCAAACCCAGAGAGCCTTAAGCCTCCCCCACTCCCTTTCTCTGCTGTAACGTGAAGAGGCCTGAGCTGGAAGAGCATGTCAAGCTCTAAAATTCTGTCCCTCCAACCATGGGACAGTCCCGGGCAGGATCCACTGTGTGCTCGCAGGTGTTTGTCTGGGGACCCCCAACCCCCTCTGCCCTCACCCCCCACAGAGCATGCCAGCCTCCTCCCCTGCCTCCCAGGCCTCACCTCCGCATGGCGGCCGCCTCGTCTGCCTGGTAGAGCGGGGGGCGCTCTCTGAGCTGCTGTCGCAGCGATTTCCACCGATCCTCCAGCAGCTGCTTCAGTGGGTCCAGCTCCAGGCGGTCCAGCTGCGGTGGGGGAAGTGGGGCCGTGGGACCTCTAAGGAAGCAGGTAGGGGGCTGGCCCAGGAGAAGGTGGTGCTGTCCCGATCCTGGGGGCAGGGCTGTGGGATGGAAGGCCCTGCTGTGCCCCGCCTCACCTTGGTGTCCATCTCTGTGAGCAGCTTGTCCAGAATCTTCTGCCAGTCCTGCTCCTGCCCACTCATCTTGGCCACCAGCTCCTGCATCATGTGGTTCAGCTGCTCTGTGGTGGCATCAAACTGGATACGGCTCACTTTGGTGGCAAGAGCACTCTTGTCGGCTTTCTGCCCGGAGAGAGACAGAGGTCCCCGCATCTGGGAGAAGGCCATGGAGGGGCCCCGTTCCCTGGGGGTGTCGACCCCTGTCACCAGGCAGGTTTCTGGGAGGCCACCCTCCTCTTGCTAGCTCCCCTCCACTTGGCCTTTCAAAGAACGGCCAGTGAGACTGCGCTGCGACAGACACAGCGTGGCTCCCAGGGCCTGGTACCCACCACATCGATCTCCATCTCTAGGTGCTCCCTGTTGGCCTTTTCCTTTTCCAGCTTCTCCAGACCCTGGTACAGCATCTGGGGAGGCCAAGTGAACAGAGAAACAGGAGCCAGAGCTGCAGGGCTGGGGGCACCACGCCGAGGCCAGGCCCATCCCGGCCACCCCGCGGCTACTCACAGCAATGTCCTTCTGCTTCTGCCGGTGGTCCTCGATGAGGTTGCTGGTGGTGACGTTGAGCTTCTCGCAGTCGCCCTGCACCTGCAGGATGGCACTCTGCACACGGCCCAGCAGCTCCTCGTCCTGGGGCAGGAGGGTCGGGAAGGCTCTCTGAGGCTGCTGGCGCGATCCCACCCCCTGCTGCCATAGTACTGCTGCCCCCAGATAAAGTGGCCCTTATAACATCTCCAGGGCTGGGAGCGGCGGCTGGTGCCTGTAATCCTGGCACTTTGGGAGGCTGAGGCAAGAGGATCACTTGGGCCCAGGAGTTCCAGAACAGCCTGAGCAACATAGGGAGACCCTGTCTCAAAACAACAACAATGGAAAGGCTCTCTGCCTGCCCTTTGTGGGTGTCCATTCTGACAGGACACAAGCGTCAGTCACCCACATTCCCATGGACCAGCCTCGGGACGCTGGCCTTCGGTGAGGGGTCAGAGAGGTGATGGAGGCTCCGGAGTGATGTTCCATGGTGCTTGAGAGCTGGGCTGTGGGCTTTATCCCCTCCTCTCCTGGCCCAAATCTGATTTCCTCAGCCCAAGAGATAGGACCCAGGACTTGTGGCTGCGCCCGCCCCCACCAGCAAGCCTGCCCTTTCGAGGGAAATCGAGAGGGGGTCAGAAGACTAGCGTGCCAGGTAGACAGCATCTCCTACAGTTGGGCCTGTGTCTCCAGGGCATGTGACTCAGCGGGCCTGTGCTGTCCCGCCCCATCAAGCCAGCTCTTCCCCATGGTCTCCTGTCCTCAAAGCTAGTTCTGCTGCTACCCTCGCTGTGGACCTGCAGAAAGACCAAGGACTTCTGTGGGATCTGGCTAAAGGGCTCCACCATGGATAGCTGACCTTGAGGACAAATGCCCGCCCCACCTCCGTGGTTTGCAGCAGGGTGGACCTCCCCTGTGGGGCCATGACCAGTGGCAAGAGGAGGAAGGTGCGCAGAGCCCCACCTGTCTCTGGAGCTTGGCCTTCTTGGAGGGCCGGGAGACCACCAGTCTGTTGACCATGTCCTGGAGCTGCTCGTAGCGCTGCACCAGCGTGCTGACCTGATGGCTCACATCCAGGCTGCAGGCTGGACAGGTGGCCTGAGGGTCGATCTGGCCAGGAGCCAAGGTGTAGGTCTTGTGCGGGGACATGCTCATGGACAGGAGTGTGGAGGAGGAGGCCAACATGCTCTCGATGATTGTCCTGAGCTTGTCCAACTGCGTGCAGGAGAGACGGCGGTGGCAGGGCAGTGAGGCTGGTCACAGCCATGCTCTGCCCACGCGGGCACCGCTCCTAGGCTGTGTGCCCTGTCACGCTCTGGGCAGTTGCTGCATCCTCAGTGCCTCCCAGAGCATGTGCCATCGTGGGCGCTCTATCCGGTAAATGGTGAGTAGGGAGAGCTCTCTGGGAGCACAGCGTCAGTGCTGAACTAAGCCCTTGCAGAAGGAAGGCCTCTAGAGCTTCCTCCGGCCCCCACCCTCGCAGCTCAGTGTGAGAACATGTCTTCTTCAGCTAAATCCTAAAGTGCTGCTGCCAGTTAGCCGGGCCATAAACACACAGAGGACTCTGAGGACACATGGGCCCCGCCCTGGGCTCTGGGGCTGTGAGGGATGGGCTTGCACACGCGCCTGCTCAGATGCCGGGGGAACGGACAGGCTCCATCCACCTAGCACGGAAATCACTAACGATGCAGGAAGAGGGCACATGCCGACACCACTCCAGGGGTGTCTCCTATGCCAGGCAGTGGAAACCCCTTCCAGGGTGAGAGCCTTGAAGGTGGCCCCCGTGTTCTCCGCATCCCTTGGTCACCACAAATGAGGCTCCTAGGTCAACAGCTGATCCAAGGGCAGCCGGTCCCTCAACCGGCCAAAGACCTGTGACATGTCACCTGGCTCAAAAAGAGAGGCTGGGCCAACCCGGGCTCCTCTCTTGGGAGTGGGTGATGGAGCAGAAAGGACTCCGCAGGGCTGGAGCAGCCGCTGTGGACCACAAAGGAGAACAAGGTGATGGAGAGTGGGATGGAGAGACACAGGGGGGTGAGGGAGGGGTAAGGAGAGGGACATAGCCACCCACAAAAGCAGATGCAGCAGGACCGGCGGGGTGGCCTGCCCCAGCCTCCGCCATGGCCTGGAGGTTCCCTTTTTCTCTGCTCCCTACGGCTGCACATCCCCAGCGCACGCGCTGTTGCCTGGGCTCAAAGACACACTGCCACTTACAACCAGAAAAGCCTGCGCGGAGGCAGGCACCTCCGAGAGCCCCGGAAAAAAGAGGAAGAGGAAGAGGCCTCCCAGAAAAATAGGCATTTCAGTGGAGTCTTAAGACTAAGCCGCAGCTGTCTGTGCAAAGAACGGCAGGAGAGAATAGGAGTACATTCAGAGAAAGGCGGCACGCCACGGTAGCTACTGATGGGGCGTGTGGAAGCAGGGCCTCCGAAAAAACGCTGCAAAAGGAGGCTAGGTCAGCCCAACGGGAAACGGATTCCCTTTATTTTTCTTCTTGAGACGGAGTCTCGCTTTGCCACCAGGCTGGAGTACAGTGGTGCGATCTTGACTCACTGCAACCTCCGCCTCCCAGGTTCAAGTGATTCGCCTGTCTCAGCCTCCTGAGTAGCTGAGACTTTAGGTGCACGCCACCACACCCAGCTAATTTTTGTATTTTTAGTAGAGATGGGGTTTCACTATGTTGGCCAGTATGGTCTCAATCTCTTGACCTTGTGATCCACCTGCCTCGGTATCCCAGAGTGCTGGGATTACTGGCGTGAATCACTGCGCCTGGCCCCCAGGAAGTGGACTCTCTCCTGAGTGTGGTCCTGGGACAGCCAGACATGAGCTTGGACTGACAGGTGACTCTTAAACACTCTCAGCTGCTCCTCAGGCAGGACACTTGGACTGGAGTCATGAAATGGTGCACACCACAGTTTCAGCAACTTGGGAGGGAGCCCAGAATGTGGCTGAAAGCACAAGGGGGCTGGGTGGGGGGGCTCACGCCTGTAATCCCAGCACTTTAGGAGGCTGAGGTGGGCGGGTCACCTGAGGTCAGGAGTTCGAGACCAGCCTGACCAACATGGAGAAACTCCATCTCTACTAAAAATATGAAAATTAGCCAGGTTTGGTGGCAGGCACCTGTAACCCCAGCTACTCAGAAGGCTGAGGCTGGAGAATCACTTGAACCTGAGAGGCACAGGTTGCAGTGAGCCGAGATCATGGCATTGTACTCCAGCCTGGGTAACAAGAGCGAAACTCCATCTCGGAAAAGGAAAACAGAAAAACAAAAAAACTTTTTTTTTTTTTTTTTTTTTT